ATAAAACAATTGTACATATAATCATCCTATCGAACAACGAGAGCAACATGACGGATGATTTAAGTGGAGCTCTGTTCAGGGGTTTGCTGCACGATTACGAGGGAGAGAGACTAGGATGCTTGATTTGGCCATCAATACATATCTGTCAATCGCTCAGTGATGAAGGCTGTTCCAAGCATATGGAGCTGACGGGGGAGTTTTTTTGGTCGGGGGGGGGGGGGGGGGGGCTTCTGTCTTCGCTGCTCGGCTTTGAGGTGCGGATCATAGGAACCTCTGCGAAGCTATAAACACGCAGAGAAATATGGATTCTCTCTAATTAATTGTAAATTGTCGCCACTTGAAGTGGCAATTCTGAGTGATGTGTGTATGTCGAGTGTGCGCTTGTGTTTTCATGTGTGCAAGGAGACGAGGGGTGAAAACAGAGATGGGGGGGTGGAATAATTCGACTTAACTTTCGTGCCTTATCAACAAGCCACTCTTCATGGTTTTTCCTTTGAAACTGCTGTTCCCCCCACTAAGGCCGAATAAATTAGAACTCTAAATAGGAATAATAATGAGAGAATATATTATTTCTGTTGTTGCTACTGGTTGATGTTGTTGTTTGTATCAGCAGGAAGGCTCTGATCTCCATATATGCAAAAAAAGGTAACTTTACTGCATGTTTTATAAGTTTGGAGGATCATTTTAATGGTGACCCAAAAAAGATGTCCTAGATATTTGGGGGAACATCCTTCTGAAAAATTCCTGAAACTACAGAGTGAGAGAGAGCAGACGGACGAGAGAACGAAAGAGATGAGAGGAAAGAGAAGGAGGGTAAAGAGAAAGAGATGCAAAGAAATTGAACTTGTAATTGAAATTCCCCGACAGAAACCTGTTTTATTTTCAAATGTGCAATATGTCGACTACACTGTGGGGACTCTGCTTGGTTGTATGTTACATAATTATCAGCACTGATGCCCTCACACCCTGACACAGCTGAGTGGTGAAACATGCTGATGAATTATTGTCATGCAAACATTATTAATACACATCTGAAGCAAAGTCCCCCCCTATAACTGAAAATTGTCTAACAGTCTGTTCCAGTCCAGTGGTGGTTTAACAAGCCTTTGCTGAATTTCCACTGTCGCTCCTCATTGGGGGAATCCCTGCTGCCATTTCACATACGGTTTCTTTACTTTGTGTTCTTTGAACACAGTGATTTGTGGGATTTACTAATGAATTTCTAATGCTTTCTCAGATTTTATCCAGGATCCACTGTGAACCTTCACAACGCAATAGATTTCTCTTTATCATCTGACACTGCAAAATCTTTACTTTGTTTCTTTTGTCCAAGCCCAACAACCTCTCTCTGTCTCTGGACACGCCAGGACGGGGGACACACAGTTACATTAAAATCATTCTGCAGCTTTAAAATTTAAAAACTGTAACTTCACGTATATAAAAACAAACACAGAGTAACTGCATGAAGGGGGTGATGTCAGAGGTTGCCTGTAGATGGCGCACACTAGCATGTCTACATCTGCACCACATCACTGCTGCTGCAATTGTCTTTTGCCTAAGACTGATGCGAGAATGACGGTGAGAGGAAATACAACTGGAGGCTAGAAACTGTGATCACTTCAGCCCTGCAGCTGACACTGGGTCTGGTTTGGGGACTTGACACTAAATTAAAACAAGTAGCTTTTGAAGATTTTCTTTTAAAATGTTCTTGCTGACAAAATTATAAACCCCTTTGTAAACTGGCAAATCTTTGGTTATTAGTTTTGTTTGTTGGATTATGTAAAAGCTACAGGACCAATCACCATGCAACTTTGTGGAAGGATGTGGTCTGGGTCAGGAAGGAACCCGTTCAATTTGTTTGTCTTTCTTTAACATTGTGAGATTTTTGACAATTCTGTGAATTAAAAGAAATAAAAAAGAAAACTTGATGAGAAACATCAGGCATATTTCAGGGACTGATATCTGGTGCAGCTGGATTAGATCTAAGAGGACAGACCACACGGTACTTTGTATGATTAAGTGTCCAAACAAACTCGATGCATCATGTGCAGTGTTTTCTGCTGCTGATGAGTAACTAGTGTTGGTGAGTAGAGGTTAATGTGGATAACTCGCCTCCACCACCCTCTTTTCATGGAGAGCACATCTGAAATTCCAACATTGACATGTGAAATACAGACAGCAACTCCTATGGCCTCATAGCACTGCACAGCGTGCTGCTCCTTCCAGTCCTGAACACAAACCCTGCACCGTGTATTTTCACTTTGACAAAGATCAGTTTGAAAGTTTCATTGAAATGTATTAAGAGTGATCTGAGTACTGAGGTACTTTGGGGAAACTGATTGAGAGAGTGGTGTTTAATTGTCAATGAGTTTCATGATTCAGGTTTTTATACAGGAATAAGTGATTTCATTTGATGTTTGTCCTTATCTAAATATATAAAATACAGACAATTTGCACATTGTCTTTTTTCTGGTTGACAGTAGAGTTTTATAGATCCACATTACAAATCACAAGCCAACATGAAAACTAGGCCCCTGAAATAACTATCTCACAGTGTTACAAAGTGTTCCCAAGTTTGTGTGTGATTGTATGCACAGTGTGTGTGTAGAGATATGAGGTGCGGAGGGTGCAGTGGAGGTAGAAAATATACAGTATGTTTTGTTGTAGTAATTCCCCTCTCCAACCCGGTCACAAGCCAAATATGAAGTGCTACTGCCTGGTAGCACAAAGCACAATGTGAAGCTCATGTGACTGTATTAACCTTTCAGACCTAATCTCCTGCAGTCACGAATGAGGGAGGGCGCGAGATCAGTGAAATGAAAGAGAGAATTCAAAAGAATATCACAAAGTACGTAGAGAAGAAAACAATGCCGACGTGTTTTATCGCTCTGAAGCTCTCAAGTCTCAGTTTCTATCCACGGTTTGTTTTGAGACCGAGAAAAAAGACTTGTTATGCAGACGTGCAGATTCGCCGTTGGATTGTCAAGTAAATCAGATCGAAGCAAAGATCACTTGTTCGACGCCCCCCGGTGCTTCAAAAGCAGCACAAAGACCACAGAGAATAGCGCTGACATGTTCTATACCAAGGCTGACAGCAAAAAGTCTGTTATTTCCGTAGTTGGTTTCATAGCTTAGAGCAGACTGTCAGTGTTCCTGCTGAGGAGCTGGTGAGATAATAAGCTGGTGGGTCGAGTCTCATTGGTTCCATGACACAGCTTTATAATTTTGTCACGCTGGTCTTTTGGCATGAGAATCAATGGAGCCTTAAAGGATTTGCTGATTTCATTGAAAAGCGAGATACAGTGGAGCTTCCCAGAAGGTTTGCTATTATTGGTCAGATCACAGAGCAACAATGATTATTTCTCCGAGGGGAGGGGGACAGTGACGGGCAGACAGATATCAGACAGCTGTCTGTGTGAAACTGATGCCTTCACCTGGAGGGCAAAGATGCACATTAAAGTTAGCATCTCTGCATACTTTGAATCAATGAATTGAATTAACATGATTTCAGATCATCTAGCTTGTGTTATTACATCACATTTTATTTTATTTTTATTCTACTTGAGACAAACTAAACTCAATTTTCAAAATAACTTGACCAAAGTATTTTCTCTATATGGAACAATTTTGTCAAATGTGCTAGCTTATAGCCAATTTGAGTCAAACACTAATATCGACGTGCTAACAATGGCAAGCAGATACTTGTTCGGCAGGTGTGATGTTACGATGCTCATTGCTGGATTTTAAATAAGTGATGATCTAAAATTATAACTGCATATATTTTTCTGCAATATGTGGTGAAATAAATTAAAGGTAACACTCCAAACACTGGCTACAAATGTTTAAATCATGATGGTGGAAATTCTCCACAATCATCAGGATTCATCATCTGGAAATGTCTGAACAGAGAGTAGCCAGCAGGAAACAGATGCTCAATCTCATACCTGGCTGAATTCACAGAGAAATTTTAAACACTTCATCCAAGTGCTTGTTGTGTCCGCCTGGGATGTCCCAATGATGCTAACCTGGATATGAATATAAATAAACTGCTGCACAATAATTCAACTGGGAATTTTTCATTGCCTCTAGCAACACACCGTGGCTGGCACTGTACCTTTGCAGTTGGTGTCACAATTAATGTGGCACCTACTTACAAATTTCCATGTATTCTGACAGTAACAATGCCGTTGTGAGACTGAACAGGGACACGCTAAACATCCGTTTGACATAAGCACTCTTTGTATTGCATAACACGATAGACATGGATGTCCTTGTAAGATAAACACATGGAGGTGTCCTATATCTGTTCTACTTATATATGCAGAGAAGACTGGTGAGATTGATGGGTTGCAAAGGCCAAATAAAGAATAAAAAGGTAAAGAATACCTGAAACATTCACCATTTCATATCATTTCCCTGAACAGTGACCCCAAAGTATATCAATGTTCTTGTTATGAATGTCAATGGCGTTGTAATATTAAGATGCACTCTTGCCTGTAGCGTTTCTGCGCTGAACACAGATCTGCTTTCTCTAGCTCTATGTCAAGTCCTAATAGTAGTATCACTCACATCCCAAACTCACAGCCCACCTATAATTGCTCCTCCAGAGTTCACTGTGTGTGTGACATGCCGCCCGAGCTTTACCACAGCCCGTGTATGGCTCTCCAAAGCATTTAACACGGAAGTGCTACTTTAACCCCCCCCAAACTCTCGCGCAGACAAATGGTGGTACGAAGACACCTCGGGGTGGCAACATTTAACATGGCGATGTTCGTTTTTTTGCCCTCCCTCGCATCGGCGTCACCTGCTAACATCACCCTCCCCGGCCAGGCCCAATTTACCGTCCAGCTGACGAGTGTCTACACATTCAGTCTACTGTACCTCCTGTGGCGTTGTACCCACACGCACACGCATGAAATTTAAGCAAGGCTGAAGGAAAAAAAGGAGGTAAAGAAGCGTCTTCCTGGAACAAACTGATTGTTTTGGAGTGTATTCTTTTATGGTTTCTCTGACAACATGGAGTACTTCTTTTTGAAAGGATTCCTGGTGGTTTTGTTAACACAATGCTGCACAACTGAAGGTAGGGTGGCATAATACAGGTTTTATTATCTATGTGATTATATTTGTGTACGATGCCAAACCACAAATTTTATTTCATTTGCCTCTACATGTTATGTGCTTACAATTATGCTTTATCTATTTTGTATTCTGAATCAGTGAGTCAATGACTGAAGGAGCAAAGAAACAAACAGGAATGTAATAATGCAATCTTTGGATCTGCTCCCTGATTGTCAATTTCATCAGTATCAATATAAAACAGTACAAATCACTCAGGTTATTCTAGTGTTTACAAAGCTACAACCCACCAAAAATGTTTAATACCTCCTTTCTAGGTTTGTCATCATCGTTGCAATCCTCCATGGTGGACACGCACCAAGATGGCCAGACCTTGCACCGAGAATCAGAGTTGCCCCCTGCAGAAGTAGTTCCAGTAGTGGCTCCTCCAAGCCTTAAAGAGGTGCAGCAAGCTGTGTTGGAGGCCTCAGAGCAGGTGGAGGGTCGTGGGGCCGAAGAAGTGCTGAAGGAGCTGCTGGAGAGGGTGGTGGAGGCAGCTATAGGGCAGCAAGTGGGCGAGGGGAAGGCAGATGAGGGAGCGGTGCAGAAGGTGGTTGAAGAGGATGCAACGTGGACTGAAAAAAAAGAGGCTGAAGCCAACATAGAGGCCAAGGTGGTGGAGCAGGTAGTGGGGAAGGAGCTGGAGGGTGAAGATGTGGGAATCAATGGAGGGTATATTGATGTTGGAGAGGAGCAGGAGGGAGCAGAGGTGGATGCATTTGAAGATGTAGCCGAGGAGGAGAAAGGAATTGCAGAGGTTGAGGGCGAAACAGCAGCTGGGTATGTGGAGGAGACCACGACAGGTGTAGACACTGGAGAAGGAGATGGAGCGGAGGTTATCAATGTGTCTCTGGACACTGAATTCAGTCAGGGGGTTGCAGAGACAGAAGAGACAGCAGGGGAATCAGCAGTAGTGGAGACAGGGGTGGAGGATAACACTATGCAGGTTGTGTCATCAGAAGAAAAAGGAGCAGCTGAAACAGGAACTCAAGATGCAGAGGAAACTCCAGCTATTGTGGGCGTGGCAGTGGACGGAGACGCAGAACAGGAGGGTTTGGAAGAGTCTGACTCTCACCTGGCTGTGGCTGTTGTGGAGCAGGTAGCAGATGTATTGGTAAAGGAAGAAACACTAGAGGGAGAAACTCAGGTAGAAAGTGATGCGTCAGTTCTGCCGTCTGATAATCAAGAGACAGAGACCACGGAAATTGTAGTGGGGGAAACATTAGAGGTGGAGGAGGAAGAGGTAGTGGAGGACACAGAAGGACCAGAAGTAAAGGACCAACAAGGCCAGTTGGTGGTTGAGGGAGGAGCTGCCGGAGAGGTAGGGACAGAAGGTGCAGATGTGGGGGAGGCGGCAGGAGGAGAAAGAGATGGAGAGAGAGAAATAAAAGAGGAATCTGTGGCGTTGGTGGAGGAGGGGGGTGACCAACACGCGGGAGGAGAGGAGCAGTTCACACTGGAGACGTCACATGGCGGCGAAACAGACGATCAAGGTGAGATATGTATAATTCTGATTAATAGACTTGCAATGTGGGAAATTAGGACTGAAACTGGCAGGACGCCCCCTTGTAGGTCCACAATGTCCCAAACTTCCTCAAATCTTCTTGTCAACTTATCAACCATTTCTTTAATGAACTCCAAATGTTAGCTGCCCCTCTCGTTTCACATTCAGTACATCTGTAGCTGCTGAGTATGTAAAAATCTGTTCATAAATTGGGTCTGAAAACCCTAAAACTCCGTTGTCTTTAAACATTCCCTCGAAAATTCAGCGGCTTTGGTCGAACTTGCATTGTTTGCATCTTAACCTACATCAAGTGAGGAAAGCTCTTAAATACAGATTATATGCTCCTTTAATACATTTTACTTAAGTATTGGCTGCTAGCACGTGTCCTGTTGTTTTAGCAGTTGGGTTGGAAACTGAGCGAGGTTTCTGAATGTTTTCAGTGTCGGAGAACAGGTTAGTGGAGCAAATGTTACAACTCAGAATATATTACCGTGAATACTAAATATTACTAAAACTCATTCTGAATGGGAGTTCACTAAGAAACAGAGTTTGAATTACACAGTAGCTTTCAGGGGGAGCATTCTCTTTGTGTGTGTCTCTCTCTCTATGGTCGCCCAGTCACTTCCCTGTCCTTGTTCGTGTGTCTGAGTAAAATGTTGAAAACTATTTGAGTGGCCGTACCAACTAAGGATGAAAGTTAAACAAGTGACTTAAGGTTAAAACATATAAATGATTGCAGCCATCGCAGGGATAGAAACAGCATTGTGTTAATTAGTGGAGATACATGTTCAAAATTGGTATTTGAATGTGTAAAAAACACACATTGACACCATCAGGGACCTCATTGTCTGCAAACCTGTTAAATGGACGATGTTTCAGAACTAAATATCTGAGTGTAGCCTTCCAGGGGAGCAGAGCTCATCTCACCTGCTTCTCTGAGCTACAGCACATCTGTGCATTATTCTACATTCCATAGGTCCTCTCCACAAACCCTAAACCTTGGCCTCTGGGCTTCATTTTCATGTGTGTGTCACATACCACATGCTGCTCTTCTAGAAATGCTGGTGATCCCTGCCCCAGAGCCTGAAGACCATGCTGAAGCCTCCGTGGAGCGGAGCACCGAGAACCAGGCTCCCACCCTGAGCCCATCCCTTGGCGGGGAGGAGTCGGTGGAAAATACCCCCGGTGATGAGAAATCCAACCATGGCAATGAGATCATCACCCCCACCGATGACATTTTGCCACACAACCCTGATGTCTCCCACCCGACGCTGGATAATACACTGAAGGATGTTCTGGCTGAACCCCCTCAGGCAGAAGTGGAGGAACCAGGGGAGACCAATGAGCTAGTGGAAGATTCAACTATAACCACAGGTCATATGGAAAAAAAAGTTAATATACGGTGTCATTTCAAAACTGTATCTTATATTATAGTTTATATTATAACAGATTTCTGCAGCAACACTTGGTAAGAGCAATAAAAAAGAGCGAAAATCATGATTATGCTTCTGAAAACAAAGTGTGCAGATGGACGAGCTGATTTTGTTCCATTTGAATCAATCTCATAGCCTGACGGCCAATATTTTTTGATTTTAGGGGCTTCCGGTGTAGAAACAGGTACAGGGCCAATACTCTGTGTTCTGTTCTCTGTACACAGTTATAGTACAACTACTTTATTTCATTACACAATTTGAATGCTGCTCCACACAAAACTCCAACAGCAATATTTGTATAAGTTTTAGATCCAAACGACCCCAAAATCTCATTCCTTACAGCAGAGTCGGTTTATAATGATTACATTTGATTGGCTCTGACTGGTGGGTGACCATGCTATTATCAGCCTTAGTAAAAGTTATACACTTTCTATGCCCAATGAGGATTCAGTCACAGAACAGCTCCCTTGTGTTCACATGAGGAATAGTTGATTCAGATGTAAATTACTATACATTCACCTCTTAATCCAACACCTTTCTTTTCTCCTCTCCATTTGTCTGAATTAATTTATTTAGAGAGGAGTGAACTTGGCCTGGAGGCGTGGAAGATTGGGGCCATTTCTGCTGCAGTCTTCCTGGTTCTGGAGACCGCAGTCATCATTATCTACATCCTCAAATGTCGTAACAAAAACAAGTAGGTAGAATTGGTCTCTGTGGGCTTTATCTATCTCTTTTTTTGGCCTAAACTACTGTTCGACTTGGAGCCAATATAATATCCTGATGCCTGCCATCCATTGTCATCATTTGGAAAGCTGTAGCTACATTGTACATCCAATAGCAAAATACAAAATTAGATTTTCCATTAAAACTAATCTTGATGTTCTGTAGCATGAGTTTGTGTTCTGGCTCCATCTTTGTGAAGCAGACTCTTTTTTTTATGAATAGAAATCAAAATAATACTTAGTCTGCATTCAAGTAGCACCAACCACATCCCGATGCTTCCTCTCTAATAGCTGAAATAAGCCATCTGATTGCTTGCTTTAGCACCAACAGAGCCACAATCACAGATGGGACTTACGGCAGTGCCGGTACATGATTGCTTCTGATGTTGCCCAAGCTGCAGCTCACATTTCTGCACTGATAGATGATGAAATGAGAAGACTGTGCTCAGTATTTCTCTCCGCCATTATAAATAATGGTCTTTCATCAGTTATTTGCTCTGCTGGTTTTTATTATTTCTTCCACTCGGCCCAGAGCAACAAGCAGTTAATTTGTCGAAGGGCTGTGGTAAGCAACAACAGTGATATCTGAGATTTTGTGTGTCATTTCCTTGTGTGTGTGAGTGCAGCACCCCAGCTACTCAGCGGGCATGTGAGGAAGGGTGCGTTGAACCAGAGGCAGCTACAGGAGGGGACTGCAGTGACGACACACTGCCAGCAGGCAACGGGGGCACTCAACAGTATGTTCACATTTTAAAGATCTACATAGTGGTGATGTGTACAAGCACAGGCAGCATAAACATACAGAAGGGTCACAACTAACAAGAAAGAAAATTCAACATTAAAAAGCCTCTAGAGCGGCTTCACCGCTCTCTTGAAGAGACAAAGGCTTTTTTCAAAAGATATTTCCTCATTTGGGTTTTGAAGATTCTGATGGGACGCACCGTCTAACATAATGGTTTTAAAATGTTCCAGACGTGTCTAGTTGAATATAACAATATTACTTAAATTCTTTCCAAGCAGATTAGCGCAGTGGAGGGACAAGGAGGTGAACAAGTTTAAACTTTTACAGGTGCTGAGTACAAAATCTGTCTGTGGCTCATATATCTTGAGAACTGTTCATCCTATCACCGTCACACTTAGCATGAGTATTGTTAAGGAAGTGCAGAGTCCGACTTGATGCAAATTGGACACACAATACTCTCCATATTAATAAACAGGTGACCAGCCCTCTGCACATTCACAATATCAACAACAACTGATTCTGCAGTTCGGGGTTCTGTGTACTTCACCGAACTTTGAATAAACAGGCGAACAGCTCTTTATGCAGCAGGGTCCTGTGGTCTTTCTGCGGCTCAGTTTCTGCAGAACACTTTTACAGTTTCAAAGAGAAATGCTACAGCCATCATCACCACAGGCCAAACAACATCTCATTCCAAACAAGCAGGGTGAGAACAGGTAGTGCAGTAGCTTAAACTAAAGGTAGAAATCAGACAAAACTGCTGGAGAGCACTGACATGTCCTAGGAAATGTTATAAAGCAGAGATGAAGACCTTATTATCAACCCTTCCCTGACAGATCGAACAAGATAAGGATAAAGATCTTTAAATATTAAATTAGCAGCTTTAAATACAGTGTGTAGCTTTTGTCTGATTAAAATAATCAGCATGGTGTTTTCCCTCACTCCCACATTTTCTCCTATAGTCTGATTTTTCAGCTGCCAGCAAACCGACTTCCACAGTGTCAGTCTCCCTGTCATTCACACCAGCCAGATGTCAGATTTGCCCATTGTTAACGGACTAGATGTGGTGCGCTGACCTGGAAGCTTGTGGTTCAGAGGAACCACCAGTTGTGTGCTTCTCAGCTGATTCCCTCCTGGCTATTTTGTCCAAGTTATGTGCCCGTGGGGCTGCTCACTGCGTCACATGAGCGCACGAGTCCCGTGAACCCAGAGCATTAATGGTTAATACCACTATTTTTCCTAATCAGACTAGTGGGCTTGGATCAATAGTAAACCAAAGGGATGTGTGAGTATGGGGTAAAAGTGCTTGTGAAAAAAAAATAAAAGGAAAAAGATAGAAGACAGATTGAGAAAAAGAAATGAATGTATGTGATTCAAAGAGAGCACGTCTCAGAGTGTGATAGGGGCAAAGTGAAATCTGATGCATGCTGAGCACAGACGATAACAAAGCAACACTGAATTATTTAACAGTCGACAGAGTCATCTTGAAATGTGTCCTTGTTAAGAGACTTTAGAGCAGCGGTGACAATCCAGTTGCTAGTGAGGTTGAATCAGTAAAACACTGCAAGCAAACTACAAGTCACTTCAAGAACACTACGTAAAAGTCACATCTTTAGCAGTGGTTTCATCTGAATAACATTACGGCGGCTCTGAGGATAACAGAAGCCGTGGTGCAAATCAAACGAATACAATGAGTTTATACAAACTGTGGAAGCCAAGAGAAATGCTATACACAAATAATACACATTTTGGAAACTGAAATGTTACTATAGGCTTTTCTGATATGATACACGTTTCAAAACTCGTGGTGAATGCAGGTTGTGATGGAACCAACAATACTAGTAAATAGTCTGTACTGACTATGAAGCAGGAAGCAGGAAAAGTGAGATCCATGAGTTAAAGGAATAAAAATAGGACTGCACACAGTGGAGCGTGTGCATCTGCAAAGGCCCAACAATCCCCTTATGAAAGCACAGTTAAATTCACTAGATCCAGGTTTTTAAATTGACCTGTAAAAAATTGCACACACTTTTTTAAAAATATCAGTCCCCTAAACATACCTCAATATCTGTAGAAAAATGTCCAATCGGACAAAATGAGAATAAAATCCCTTCGTCCTCAATAAAATGTCTAGATTTCTTCCTTGGGTCATTCCCCAAACCTGCCAACAATTGGAAATTGTTCAGTAGTTTTTGAGTTTTCCGGCTTACAGAGAAGAAAACATAGCTTCCTTGACAGAGATAATCATAAAAAATTGACTCTATTTTATTTTGTACTATGCAATGCTTTTACCATTGCACAAACAATGGCAGTATGGATCAACAAGGGCGTCATAAAATGTACTGAGCGCTTTTAGATTTATTTCTTTCACCCAGGACATAGTCACCTGCAATTAGTCAATAATGTCAACTCCTCTATTTACATCTGGGCATTTTATTCCCTCACAGTCCATCTCCTTCCACCACAGCTTATAAGCGTCTCCATCTGGTGCCGTAGTCATTAGATAAAAGACCTTGTAGTGACAATATCAGTGTTTGCTTGCAGCGACATATTAAGCAGCAATTCGACAGCCACTTAATGAAGACACAACAAATTAAATTGTGCTTGAATTTTACTAGTATGTTAAATGTCCCAGCAGAAGGAGCAGGTCTTTGTAAAAACAAACATTTTGTCCTTGTTTGGTTTAAACTGCTCCTGCTGCATGTGATGTCATTGATTTTCAGTGCTATCAAGCGGCGCTTTCTTTTTCCCCTTTTTGTAATTTATCCATTATTCTCTGCCAACATGCCGTCTGTCCTCTCTACCAGGATAGCAGCACTTGACCCGTCTGATGTGGCTTCAACCCTGGCCCAAAACAAACAGCCGCACACAGAGGAGCAGGCGGTAGCCATGTTGGACATCCCGCCCGGCTCCAGAGAGGAGTCCGCCAACACTGGACCGGGACTGGACTCCTCACAAGACCTCAGGACTTCCATCCTCTAGGGGTCTAACCATTTGTCTGTTCCTTCTGTGTCTAAATAAAAACCCAAAAAGCCACTCTCCTCCCCTGTACCCCATCCCTGTTTACCCAGTGAATCACCCTAAACCAACACAGACGGCCTTAGATTCCAACTGTAACAACTGTATATGTAACACGTTTGTATCTGGTGCGGATGTCTGCTTGTGTGAGTGTATGTGTAAATTGAAAATACGTAACACATTGAATGTGTGAATGTGAAAGGAAGTTTGTGCAATAACAGCTGAGAACGGGCTTGTGAATAAGTGGATGTGCGTGCTTTAAATACTCTGCATGTATGTGAGTGTAAATGTAATAAAATCTGGTTTGAGTCTAGTTTGATGTCAGTAGGCTACAATGACTTTGTTAAGAAATGTTGTACAAATCTGTTAAAATCTGTGAACTGGGCAGCAGGCATGAACCATTTGACCCAATTTATCAGTAATTCAGTTCCATTTATTCAGAGAGCTTTGGCAGAACCGTACTGTGCCATTATGTCATGATTAAACTGAAGTTTAAAACTTGATTAGATTTTTATTCTGTGTAACCCCTGACCTTTGAATCATCATTTGTAATTTGAGTACCATTATTAAAATGATGAACGTGTCATTGGTTAGAATTCTTTCGGTGGTTGGTTCCTCGGGGCAGGGTTGAAATTTCTGATGATTTGAAAACACAAATGGAATAACAACAGGGAACGAATGACAATTTCTTCCAAACAAATTATCAAGAATTGTTCCCCTCTGTTTGCGTCAATAACATATTAGGGCCATAATAAAGATCATAAAACATTTAGAGATTTCAAAAATAAATGGAAAATGTCATTACATTTCCAGAATAATTTAGTATTATGAAAAATAAAACATTATGAAGTAAAGACTTGCATAATATGCATATGATTACAAGAGTTAAATCATAATATTATGAGAATAAAGTAATTTAATGAGAAAAAACCTATAATATTACACCGATATTCTATTACATACCTCATTTTAATGCAGGCTACAAGCTGATCCTCTGACATTCCTTTTTCTAACCTGACACGTTTTCCTAAAATTATGACTTTATTCATATTTAACTATGACTTTATTCTTTAAAATTATAACTTTATTCTCATAAAATAAAATCTCAAAAATCTCAAAGTCTCATAAAGTTTTCCCATAAAGTCGCCCTAAAACGCTGTAGATAACAAAGCATCACCATGATTTTACTGGGCTGAAAGTCATTAAACTCACTCAAATACGACTTGAGCATGAATCCTCTCTCACAGTCGAGCCCTTTATAGTGAGTGACCACACAGACTGGCGTCGTTTGGGTTATGATCACAAGGCATGTGAATGAATGTTTGAGAAAGCACTTGAACCCTCAAGTGTATTCATGTGTACTTTGTGTGTGTACCGTGTTTATGTGACTGTAGGTGCTTACACAAGCTCCGGAAAAGGTCAGATCATGCGCTCAATAGCTATTTAAGCCGGGAGACGGGAAGCGGGCCGACTCTTGGGGGGATACATTTCTGCAGACGGAGAGGAGCAGCATGCACAGTCAGAGGTAGGGGGCCACACACTGTACACACAGCCGTTTCACATCATGAAAATATGAGTCTAAGATATTAACGCAGGAAATGACGGATTCTTTAACATTTATAAACTTAAAATGAAGAGGCTATTGTATTGTAAACTTAAGCTACTGCCCAAATCAAAAAATGAAAAGTTTTATTTGCCGATCATGTCTAACAAACGTTCACAAAACATCTATGTTGCTAACACATAACACATTCTTCCCTCACGTTTATTTTAATGGTAACTCTACTTGGGTGGTTGCTATGACTGATTAGTTGTAAAATAATTGCTCCTGAGAAATGATTTGTCTCCATTCATTCATTCCCAATCAACAAGCTTCAAACGGCTTCAAACGGCTTCAAACCGCGAAACAGGTTGAAGCAGATCATCTCTTGTCATCTATTGTTAAGAGCCTCGTTTCTGAAGTTGGGAGAGTTGAAAGCTAATGGCTTTGTGAATTATGAATAACGACTTGTGCTGCTCGCAGGGGTGCACACGAAGTGAAGATTCGGAATAATGTGAAGACAAATGGCTTTAACGAGAGAACACAGACCGAGTGTGTTGTTCTTGGGCTTTATTGAAGTGTGCGTCTGCAGTGGATTGAAGTCACACAAGAACAGTTATAAAGTAAAACCGAGGTTAAAATCAGGTTATGAGGCAAAGACACCTAACAGTGCATAAGTGAACAAAATGTACCTAAAATACTTTTTTTCACCTTCCTTCTCCCTGGATTTTTAGCATGTGGAGAGCGGGCCTCCTGGTGGTGACCCTGTGTGCCGCCCAAACGCTGGCCCAGTTCCCCCGTGAGTGTGTTACCCCCGAGGGGCTGCAGAGCGGTCAGTGCTGCCCGTCCCCTACAGGGGTGGCTGGGGACGAGTGTGGCTCCAGCACAGGGAGGGGGCAGTGTGTGTCCATTGCAGCAGACAACCGGCGCCACGGACCCCAGTATCCTTACGCGGGGCGAGACGACAGGGAGAGGTGGCCGCTGAGGTTTTTCAACCGCACCTGCCAGTGCAATGGAAATTTTAGTGGCTACAACTGCGGGGGATGCCGACACGGGCTGTCCGGACCGAACTGTGATCAGAGGATCTCTGTGGGTAAGAGGACGAACTCTGGTGACTAAATTCAGCACTGACCTAATAATTCCCCCTCTACCTCCTACTTTAACTGTTAACATTTCAGTGGGCCTCAAAATACACCAAGCGAGGGAATAAAAGCTACATTTTATTGTTAGGGAAAGGAAATGTCTGTGTTAATTTTTAATAACACTTTCTTTTTGCTCCTCTTCCTTTTGTCTTCCCACACCTCAACAATTCCTTGACACCTTCTCTCCACTTTCTGCTCCCGCTGTCTTCCTCTGTCCCATTAACCCAACTGCAGTGAGGAGGAATATCATGCAGATGAGCGCGTCGGAGAAGCAAGCATTCGTGAACGCTCTGGACCAAGCTAAGAGGACCATCCACCCTGACCTGGTCATCTGTACTCGACGGTAAGTAAGCATTTTAGTGGTTACATCATTCTATTTAACCTGTAAAGGCTTTGTTCGAATAAAAAAGTATTGTATAAAAAATGATTTAATGAGCTAGCTTCAAAGGAAAATTGATCTGCGCCAGTCTTTGCTCTTGTGGTACGACTGAGAAACGAAGAGCCAAGCTTTAATCGAGGACCTGCAGGCTCTCCGTCTAGCAGAGTCTGGCTCAGTAATATGGCTGAGGGTGAACCCACGCTGTGTTTTGATAGTTATCAGTAAGATCTTAAGATATTTCTCATGGCAGCTTTCTTTCAAGCTGTGTGTCGAAGAACAATTGAGTAAGAAGGAATAAAGAAATTCATCGTCTATTAAGTAACTGTTCATAAATAATCGCCTTCCAAATCACCTGAAATTTGAAGTATTAAGTATTATTAACGTTTTGAGCAAATTTTAGCTGCAGGTATAAGAGCCCTTTTAACCTCCCGATGAAAAAATGAAATGTCTCCTGTATTAACGGCTGGTTATAGCTTCACTCTCGACATGGCTGTGTAACTGAAACTGAGGGAATAAACAGTAGCACTGTGTTGGAAATAATAAAAAAGGGGACATGTGTTGCTTCCCTCCTTCCCCAGGTACCAGGAGGTGTTTGGGCCCGATGGCAACAGCCCACAGTTCGAGAACATCACCATTTACAACTACTTTGTTTGGAGCCACTACTACTCTGTCAGCAAAACCTACCTGGGGCCAGGCCAGGCAAGCTTTGGAGGTGTAGACTTCTCCCACGAGGGCCCAGGTTTTGTCACCTGGCACCGTTTCCATCTGTTGCAGCTGGAGAGAGACATGCAGGCGAGTACGGAGCAGGGAGGAAGACGAAATAGAGGGAGGAGGGGTAGCTTTCAGGCGGATGGAGGGATGAAGGAAGTAGGAGAAAAGGAAAGAGTTTGGGGATTTGAGGAGCAGAAAGCAATCCGAGAGGACAAGGGAGGAACAGGGATGAAGGGGAACAGACAGACGCGAAAGAGGAAAAGGAAATTGAAATGTCTTGTTTCCTGCCACTAACACCTGCCTTCTTCCTTTATTACAACCACGCAGGACATGCTGGGTGAACCCACCTTTGCCCTGCCCTACTGGAACTTTGCCATCGGCGGCAGTGACTGTGATATCTGCACGGACGACCTGATGGGAGCCAGGAGTAGCTTTGACATGAACTCCATCAGCACCAACTCTGTGTTCTCCCAGTGGAGGGTCATCTGCGAGAGTGTGGACGACTACGACTCGCTGGGCACCGTGTGCAACAGTAAGGACATTCGCAGAAAGAAACACGCCCTGTACGGCTCTCGGCGAGAGAGCTGCGTTGATATACAGAGCACTAGTCTCAGCTGCATCAGAAAAAAGGGCAAAGAGCTCATAAAAGGAACATGTAGAACATAAGCTGCTATAAATAATACCACCAGCTGTTGTGCAGCATTATTGCTAGCTATTAGTGCGGTGTGTTTGAAACTACTTCACTTGTTAAAACATCCCCTTCTTAGCTCCAGAGTGCATCTTAAAAACACATTTTTGATTCTGTGACCCTCGTTTCTCTGCAGCAGCTATCAGAACCTACAGCTGTTCTGCACAGTGGCTTTTTCAAAATCAGGGTCAATAAAGGGGGCAAAATTTACACAAAGGGGTCAATTGAAGGTACATCCATCAAGAGCCTTCTCAACTGGTAAAAAACCCACTAACACAATGGGAATGGAGACAATCTGCATCCACTCCCGTGTCAAATGAGTCTGAAGTAGAAACGGGTCTTTATCAGCTCTGACTCAGATCGGCAGTGACAGAAACGTGTCACCGGGTCCAGCGTCAATTTAGGAAGACAGCAAGGTGAGAGAGCACCTCAGTCGTCGGTGTATTTGTAACATTGAACATGGCACACTAAAGGGAAACAATAGACAAACTGGCAATGAGTGAGGAGTCAATTGCCTTTTTTAGCGGAGTTACCAAGGTTTAAAAAAGAGATGCTCCTGCTCACTTATTTAAGTGTGAAAAAGGGACAAGAAGCACATTCGAATTTGTTTACTGTTAGCTAAACAGCATTGAGCAAAGCTACACATTAATGAACAGATGTTGAAAATTGTTCCTTGTTCAAGCATAAAATTCTTAACTACTCGTCCTATTTATTGTTTGTATTGTTTTTAAGTGACTAGTTTATTTATTTGTTTATTTTAAGACTACTGAAAGGAGAGGGGGGTCTATCAGATTTCAGCCATGGGCCAGTGCCTCCCCCCCGGACCCACCCCTGAATCCGCCTCTGTTTTTGCAAGCGTTAATTCCTCTGATGGATCAAGTGGTTAAGACTGGAATAAGAGACCTCTGTGTAGAACTGTAATAAGACAGACTTTAGGTGCTTTAGATTTGCAGGGATTGGATCTAATTCCACACTGGCACCAGATTATATTGCTAAATCACTACTTTCCCTTCAGTTTTTCTTGTCAAACCCTTTAAAATCATGCAGTATTCTCTCTATCTTGAACTGTGAAGAATGTCAATCTGCTTTCGCTGCGGAGCTCTGGCTACAAACACATGAACAAA